AAGGAGGAAGTCACCGTGCCTTCTCATCCGCAAAGATCCCTCACAGCTTTGCCTCACCCTTGACAGCTGTCAAGTGAAAACAAAATAACCAATTCTCAGGATCTCTTGATCGATGCCCGTGGTCCATACCTGCTGTACTTTGACAGCACAGCACATGTGATTCCCTTACATATTTTGAGTTATGTTGTTGTGCAACTCTGGACCCCGCCATTAAAGAAATTATGAACATAGTTGTGCAAAAGCAAAAATATAGAGCAAGTACAAGAAAGGTGGTGAACCAGCTTGTCCCATGTGTTGCTGTCAAGAGTGGAGGAAAGGAAAACGGAGGAAGCAGCAGGGAACACAAAATGGGTTGCAAATGCAGCAAGGAACAGAAGTCCACACAGTTGTGGGATAGTTCCTGGAGGGCTGAGAGGGAAGGAGGGAGAGAAAAACCCACCATCATCCTTTCTTTGCAAGGTGGCTGCCATGTCATACAAATTCACCCAGTAACTCCAGTACCTGATCTCATCTGCTCACTATGGATCAATACATAGTAGACATGTAGGTTGCCTGTCATCAAGGAATTAAGCCTTTGAAAAATGGATAAATTTATGCTTTTATATACTTAGAAGTCAGGCAGGACAAATGTATCCATTTTATCATTGGGATCTACTTATAAAATTTCATTTTCTAAATATTCCTGTTGTCCTCTGTCAACCTAACCTAAGTTCAATGCTCAGATCCCAAGATACTGACAACTACACAAACTAGCCCCAGGGACTGAATTTCATTTTGGAGAAGCTATCCAGTGTCACATTCCAGTGGTGGGAGAAGCCAAAGGCAAAGAAGCAGGACCAAAATATCAAAAATACCGGCATTTTCTAGCTTAAAGCTCTTCCTGCAAGAAACTAAGTTGAAGGTTAACCTTTGAGATGTTAACCTTTTAAAATGGAGAAAATGCTGCACAAAATCCAGAAAACAACCAAATGATTGATGGTCAGGGAAGTCTGGGTAGAGACAAGGAAAGAGAGTTGGCCATTTGGGGAATGCTATAGGGGTTAGGATTAGCTAAATGACCAACTCTCTTTCCTTATCCCTACCCTCTTTTTCCTGACCACCAAATGTTTGGTGGTCTACTGGCTTAATTTCCTGGCTTTGACGGTTTCCCTGCCCTATTAGGACCTTGGGAAGAGATTTGGCCACTGCTTTTAAATGCCTAGCTGGGCCATTTTCCCAGGAATTGCAGCTCTGCCCTCATTACATGACTGAGCATTGTCAGTCACCAGAAAGGGGAGACGCAAAATAGCCCAAAGAACAAAAATTGTAGAACACATTCAGATATGATTGCTAAGTAAAAAGAAACAGGTCAAAACAGTAAAAGCTAATGTTTCCTCCAGCTCATGTCACTCTCTTTCAAGAGAACCTCAGTCCTTTTCCTACTTTGCAAAATAGGGGAGAAAATCCTTCTTTACTTTTCACTTGAAGTACAAAAAGCACTTCCAAGGCTGGCACATAGCCTTTGACCTAACATGTGCAGGAGGAGGCCTTTGACTCCACAGAGAACAGCATGGGTTCTTTTTTTTAATTTTTAAGTGGCAAGGATACATGATCCTTCGTTTGTTTCCATTATCACACACAGGCACTTTGTTTAAATGCATTTGTGCGGACCCCTCTGTCTGAACCAGCACAGACTCCACTTGTGGTTTTACATGCCAGCTTTGAGGAACTCTTGTCAACAAGGCCATTTCCCCCACAACCACAAGTCTGTGGTTTTTGTTTGCTGATAGCACTTCCTACAAACAGCACATCCTCCAGGGCAGAAATGAGAGCCCCAAATGGATGCTCAACTAGAAATGTTATCCCCAAGAGCAAGTAAGTTTACATTACACTTCTGCAGAATGGAAACCTTATGTCAGTGGTGGCAGGGCCAGGGGCTTATTCTGTTGCGTTAATGCAATCCAGCACTACCTTTGGTGAAAGACATGGCTCATCATACAAGGAAGGCCTTCCTGCCACCCTCCCAGGCAGTTCCCATTAACTGCCACACTGGGAGAGCTTGTTCGAGAAGCTTTGCTTTCTCAGACACCAGCATTTGACTTTTTGGATCCTAGCTGCACATTTATCCTAGCTTAATGCTTCTTGCTCCTTTCCCCGTCTAGCCATCATTTCTCTGCTGTGGGAATCCTCTTCTTCTAAAGTAAAGACACCCTTTCTAAAACATCTTTCTATATAGTAAGGGCAGAAGACCTCAAGCCTAGATGGTAGCTAAATGTTGGACTGGGAACCCAAGAGATCCATTTCTCATCCCTACTCAGCCATGAAGCTTACTGGGTGTCTTTGGGCCAGTAACTGCCTCTACCTCTCAGTGTTGTTGTTATGAGGATAAAATAGAGCTGTGTAAGTTGCCTTGGGCTCCTCACAAGGAGAAAAAATGGTGGGATATATATGCAATGTAATAGTCTTATCACAATGGAAGATAAATCCTAAAGCAATTTATGTACAAAGCCCTTAATGGCTTGGGACCTGGATACCTAAAGGAACGTCTGCTTCCTTATTTGCCTTCCCACCCCTTGAGATCAGCAGCAGAGGCCCTCCTCCGGGAGCCCTCCCTGAGAGACATCTGGAGGCAAAGTACCCGGAGGAGGGCTTTCTCTGCAGTGGCGCCCCATCTGTGGAATGCGCTCCCCAGAGAGGTCCACCTGGCACCATCATTATTTGTTTTTCGGCGCCAGGCTAAGACCTTTTTATTTAAAAAATATTTTAACAACGCTTAATATCTATAGGTTTTAATAGTACAGCCAGGGTGTTTCTGGATTTTAATTGTATTTTGTATCATGTTTATTTATGTGAGCCGTCCTAAGGCTATAAGCAATGGGACAGCATACAAAAACTCTAAATAAATAAAATAATAAAATAAAAATGTATGTGGAGATTGCATGAATGTTGTATGGGCTACCTCCTGAGGTGCCACTCACACCAGTCCCAAGGAAGATGTACCCACTGGTGGGGTGCTCTCCAGCTGTCACTCATGCACCTCTTGGTTAGGTAGCATAAACTAGGCTCCCTCTAGACATTGTTGGACTACAACTCCCATAGACTTCAGCCCTACATGGCCAACAGTCAGGGATTATAGAAGTGTATAATTTTGAGGGCACTGGGTTGCCTCCCTGTAGCATAAAGCATCTCTAACCGTTTCAGAAGGCTTCACAGAATGTCCAAGTGACCATAATTCCTTACATAAGTGGGCTTGATATGTCAGACTGGGCAGTATATGTTTAGGTAGACCAGGAAGCTGTTCTTGTTTTTTTCATCACACACATGCACTTTGTAGTAGTAAGGGGCCGGGGAACAAAAGAAAAAGAGCCCCATGAGAACTCATCACGCTCAGTAGCCATGCTCAGATGCTGTGTACTATTTCTTCTTGAAATTCCCCCTTTTTTTGATCACATGGGGTTTCTGCTTCCAAGTTCTTCATGAGATTAAGCTTGGCTTCTTTACATATTTATTTTCCCTTGGGGTTATTCTTTCTCTGCCTTTGTGCATGTTCCATTATACAGTCACAAGAAGGAGCTGCAGGATAGCACTGTAGTATAATTAGTAAACACATGAGCTATTACACAATTTCTAAATAATACCACAATTTTCTCCATCTAAAAACGGTGCAAAAAGTATGGGAGAGGCTCTGGAGTATGATAAAATGTGTAAAGCAACTACAAACTACTGTGAAGAACCATGAGCACATAATATTTGCCTCAAACATTGAAACTAAGTCATTTTGATAAGTGGATTGCCAAAGAATTTAGTTTCCCCTATGTGTCCAAAATTAACGATAAAGGTTTAAGTTAAGGAGAAGAAGACAGGCGAATTGCTTAAAAAGTGAACACAGTGAAAAGCTGCTATCATCATCATCATCATCATCATCCCTATACCACCCACAGCTGATGCTATCTGCTATAAGGAACCTTGCAGGTTGATTAGGAATATTGAGGGTTGTTTAAATAAGATCCTATTTATGTATTGAACACCTTAAAAATTATCTGACTGTTCATCCACAGGAAATCTGACCCAAATATAGGCTATTCACACAGATACGTTTCCTATGTACCAGCAATAAAGGCAGCTAAGAAGCGATATAGTGATCTAGGCCAGCTCCTCCATTAAAGAGAGAGAGGCAACTTTCTCAGGCAGCTGGATGTGTGTGTCATGAAAAGGTTTCAAACTGTTTTAATTTTATTATGGTATTTTTACTAGCAGGGAGGAGGAGAGACAGTGGTGGACTTTTCACTCCATATGCCAAAATAACTTTGCTAGCCTTGTGTATTATGCACCTTGAGGTGGCAGGAAGAGTGCCACATTTGCTGGTTCACCTTCAGCAGCAGGATGTAGTTCGCCAGTCCTGCTAGCAATTTTAATTTCGGCTGAGTTAGGAGCAACAATTGACAAGTCAAAATATACTAGTTTTACCCTTTTTTGGGGGGCGGGGAGTATCTATTTTATGTAAACATGTATATCCCTGAGCAGTGTTAAAGGATACTGTATTTATTTAAGGTTAGGGAGGACCCCAATGAGACATTGGTGGGGGACATTAATTCTTGACTTGGAGCTTCGGAGGATGAGTGGGTGGGAGCCGTACCGCAGAAACAGAAGCACATTGCTGGCAGGCTGCCCTATGGGCATTCCATCATGACAGTGTGTTTTCTGCAGTCTGGCAAAAATGGAAGGAAAAGGTGAGAAAAGAGGAAAGCTGCATGTGGGAAAAGACCAAAGGACAACCATTCGATGACAAGGTTTTCTAGGTCTCTTGTAAACAACCGCTACTGTGGGAACACCCATGGCCAAGCAGCTGCTGTCACTGAGGGCCACATCTGATGACAGAAGCCTGGCAAAAGCTATTTTCGAGATGTCAGTCATGAAAGACAAGCACTAAAAGCAAGCTGTCAGATGAACCAGAAGCTTTTATCAGCTGAAGACACATGGGCAAGACCAGTTTAAATAAGAGACACTCCTTGAACTGATCAGTGGATGAGGCTGCTAATGATAGTGGGAGCTCCATTTCTTCCACGTCCTTAGGAATGCCTGAATTCCTAAAGATTATTTTCTCCTCCTCCTGGTTTTCTAACTGCTGCTCAAAGGTAATAACAGTTAAGGCTAATTCTCAGCACCTCCCTTTCCCTTCCAGGGCCCAAACTACATTTCCTTCGCTTCAATTCACTAATTGGCTATTTCCACCTCACAGTGTTTCCCTTTCTCTTGCCTGCTTATTTATATCCCAGATAAATGTACTGAGAAGAAATGACATCCTAAAGCATACAGATGTCAGTGGGTAGGATAGAAAAATGTCAGATTTAAATGCTATTGGCTCAGGTAGATGGAGGTAAGGTGATAGTGTTGGCTATCATGTGACTTTTATTTTTTTTAAAGTGCTACTTTATTCTAAACTCTCTTTTTCACAGAACATCACTGTCACCAACACTACTCCTGTCGATATTTAAAATAATAGAAAACATGTTCCTTGATAGCAAAACTAAATCACAGTACTTAATATCAGGGACCACCTCTTTCTTTTCTCATGGTAGGACTCTTGCACTTTTAGCCACAGCATGACAAGTATAAATGTAGTTCCTGTACCTTTAATAGCAGCTTGTAAAGCAAAGGGTTAGTTGGTGAAACTTTTCTAAACTGCAAACAGAATGATCAGGAGAACTTTATCTGCCAGACTGCCGCCTGCTTGGTATGCAGGAAACCTGGCAGAGGGATCCTGGAAGAAAAAACAAAAGGCACGGTATATTAAGCTCTTAGAGATGTAAGATTTCCTCAATTATCTGTACTCAGATAACAGCCTACCAAAATGTCCTGAGTGTTTGAAGTGTTGTGATGCAGTGCTCTCTTCAATTAAGGTTTTACCTTGGTAAATTATGAACTGTTCAGCCATTTTAGTGGGCAGAAAAAGCAAATTATCAAGAAGCTTTATGAGATCAAATATAGTCTCAGGATCTGGTCGCACTGTTTTGTTTTTGGAGTTGGAAGCATCGGTTAAAAGATATTAAAAACCCTTATTATTCCACACAGCAATTTCAGTTTTTATAGTAAGAATTATGAAAAAGAAAAAGAAAAAACTACAAAGTCCTACCTTTTCTTTTTCCTTCTTTTTTAAAGGATTGCACTTATCCAAAAACAGTTTTGAAACCAAGGTGAGTGTGATGCATTTTTTTTGGTGTACATTGTAAGAGAATCTATGTATTCAAGATACACTGCTCAAATAGTATGAAATCCCTATGTTCAGTCTTCAAATTTTCGGCCATTCCTCTTGATTTATTTATGTCCTGCCTTTTTCTTCAAACAGTTTCGGGCAATGTTAGACCTGTTTATTTCTATTTAATCCTCGCAACAACCCTTGGAGGTAGGTTAAACTAAGAGTCCATGACTGACCCAAAGTCACCCAGTAGGATTCAGGGCTAGCCACAGACCTGAACTGAGGCGTCCCTAGTCCAATGCCCTAACCAATATACCACACTGCCTCATAGCTGTATTCTCAGCTGTATTTTTTTTTAAATCTTGTTCCACTAAATTGGCCTCTCAGTCAATGTTTTTGCCTTATGGAGTTTAGCACAGCTCTTCTTTCAACAGTGGTTATAAATAGCAGATGGCTACTTTTCATGCAGAAATATTTGACTACTGATTTCATACCCTCACAAGCATTCTCCAGATATCAAAGCAGCAACCAATATATGTGAAACCTGTTGTGCTTTGAGTTTGACACAGAGAAAAGCCAGAAGGGACATGAGGGTGAGCTGGAAAACACAGCCTCCATTTTGCAGTAGAGGACAAGTGGCTGAGCCTGCAGATCCTTTCTCAGGAGGTAGGACAATCTTGAACCTAGATGGACAAGTAACTCAGGGACACTTACCAGCTACGCTGTGCTGGTTTCTGCCAGCATGTGTTTTTGAGGGTACACATCTGTGCATATTGCTATTCACACATAAGCAAAAGAGCCCTAGTGTGAAATCAGCAGAATTTGTTGAGACAAGTTCCTTCAAAAATTAAAAGCTCATCCTAGCATTATTTGGCTGCTTCTTTAACTGATAACTGGAAAGGAAAGGTTGGAAAATTATTGAATCCATTATGAAATCAGTTATTAAATCAGCCATGCTAGGAGTTGTAGATTTTTTTCCTGCTAAACCTGCATAGGATTTCACCTTTAGGTGCCACATGTCCTGTGTACAGGCAGATAGAGTCAACAGGATGAGGAATCAGATTGCCAGCCAAGGAGGAGGGCCCAGGAACTTAATAATTGTGACACTGAGTCCTCAGGGCCAGTGGATCTGTTGCTAAACATACAAACTGGCCCTTATTTGCAGGCTCATCCTATATGTAAGATACGTACTTATGATAGTATCATATCTTGCTATAAATCTGAATTAGGCAGCCAGAAATATAATGACCTAAAGCAAATGTGAGCTGGGCCAATCCCATGCATGTTTAGATGCATGGGCCTATACCTCCTAGCATGCTCATGAGGCTTGGTGGAAGTTGTAGGGATGTGCCTTAAATGAAGCTAGAGGATGCTTGAAAACCTCCTTTTTCAGACAGGCAAGGCTTTCACACATTAAAACAGTTAAAATCTTATATTAAAAACACATACTTCACATAGAAAACTAATTCTTGGGGACTGCAGATACACAGGTTGCTTGTTGTAAGTCATTCTCTACCTATGGCTGCCAAAAGGATATTGGAACGTGAGATAGAGGGAAAGAAGAGCCTGGGATAGCTCATTTCTTTTCCTAGACAAGCACTGTAACTGGTACTCCATACAACTGTGCTGTGATGAAGCTGAAGGTTGCACTCCGTATATGCAAGCCTGGGAATATTCTTTCTTCAATTGTACCTTCAGTTCCATTGAAGAAAGAAAAAAGCTTACAAACAGCAAAGAGGAAATGGGTGGAATGCAAAGAGATGACGATCTCATTTGTAGAGTTCATCTCCCCCAAGAGATTCCCTTTTGCAACTGAAATTTCTCAGAATTCAGCCAGAAATAAGTATTACAACGAAGTTGTTCATTGTCATTTTTATGTGAACATCTGGTGTCCTTTGGCTCTTGCATAGACAGCTGTGAATTCCCCCAAACCTCTAGATAAGGTCCTACCACAACTTCCAGCTGTCGACATTCCTCCTTCACCTTCCCATCACAGCTACAGAATTCTTCCCTGAAAATTTCACATGGCACTAAAAGAAACAGCTGATGAACAAAGTTCTTCCTAGATTAATGTTTTCCATGCATACATCATACTAGTACTTTCAGCTCGTGACAAACTGAGGAGTGTGCCAACTTTCTTTTCTGGGCAGCAGGGCTCCCACGGTCACATGATGGACAGAAGTTCAACAGGCAAAGCTTTTCCCACCATGGATATGGAAATGAGAAATGCAGGAGCTGCCAAATTTCTTCTTCCTATGCAGCCATTAAAAGCATAGTGATCTTTGTCAGAAAAGGAAGTTGGGAGAGAAGGATTATCTTATGACACCAAAGAAAGTTGCTATGAAAAGACAAAGTGTGAGCCAGTGTGGTGTAGGGTTTAGGAATGTGGGAATGGGACTCAGGCAACCTGGGTTCTAGTCAGACATGGAGCCAGCTGGGTGATTTTTGGCCAGTCACAGACTCTCAGCCCAGCCTGCTTCACAGGGTTGCTATTGTGGGGATAAGAATGAGACCAGGAGGAGGAGAATGATGCAAGCTGCTGTGAGTTCTTCAGAAAGAGAAAAGGTGGGATATAAATCTAATAATAAACAAACTTGCATGCAAGAAAGCAGTATGAAACAACACCTTGCATGAAAACAGGTGGTAACATATCTTTATCTCACAGCATCAGAACAGGGATGGAAAATCTTTTTCAACTTAAGTTGCCACCCAGGGAAGCTCCAGGATTAAATAACAAGAGGGGCATTTAATCTTTAACACTCTGTCCAAAAGATGCAGTGCTAAAATTTGCATCCTGTAACTCCCAACATTGTACAGCCAATCCTGCTGGGAGTTGTAGGACTTTTTTCTGTTTAAACATGCATGCAGTTGTGTCCCAGACTGTGGGCCCCAACTTTTTTGAACCTGTGTGCACATTTCAGAATTTGAGAAAGATCTCTCTGCATGACTACAGAATACCAGATCAATGGATTGCTGCCCTGGCACATCTACCTGTCATATCTGTGGATCTTGGACTGTTTCTTACTCAGCAAAAGTTTTGCTTACTGACTGTTGGACACTGCAACTCTTTAATAAGGGATTGCCCAATTCAGGTAATTGCTGGTGGTACAATAAAGCTAATGGTTCTATTAAGTATGTGTCTGTTAGCAATATCTAACTGGGAGGACAGTATTATACAAACTATTTCTGTACTTATTTTAAATTATTTAACTGCTTCATGGAACTTCTGAAATGGTCAGCAGAAATAGATTGTGTACACCTTTTGACAGCCAAAATACTGATATTATACAGTCAGGACTTCAGTGAGTAGCATATAGACATTACCCTCAAAGGAATAATTATTTGGATATTTGGTCCACTTTTGTTGGCAACTTTGCTGTATTTCTAGAAAATTTTATGCCTTTTGCATTGCTATGGATGCAAATCCTTGTCAGTATATAAAAATAATATGACATTTTGTTTTTTGTGGGGTCCTCTTCATGGGTACCATTGGAGTTTCCCACAGGTGCCATGTTGGAGACCCTTGCCTGATTGGAAGCCTGTCCCAAATTCCAGATGAATAAGGTGCAACTCAGGTGAGAAAAAAAATACAATACAGGGTGTGCGGATACATACTATGTCAAGGAGGCATTAATGGGCACCATATTACAATCACAACTGGTAGTTGAGGGAATAATGTCCACCATTACATGCTGGTTGATATGGGGAAAGTAGAGGCAATCTACAATAGTAGCTGAGGCGGTAGCACATAGCTACTGTCACACAGAGGTTTAGCATTTTCGGCTGAGCAAATTACAGGATTTTTCTCTGCAGCAACATTCAGAAAGTCTGACCCTGCCTTAGCAACCGTTTGATACAACCAGCTGGCCATGGGCAGCTATCCAGCATGTGCAACAGCAGTTCAAATGATCTGCACAAGCCTGAAGGTTTGCATAAAGGAGCACTCCAAGTCCAGGAGTTACTGCAAGATGGCTGCTTCCACCAGCTTAATGGATATGTTCTAGGACCCAAAGCCAAACAGCCCTTGCTGAAATGAAGAAAAAATGCATGTTCCTCTAGCATTTTAATGATCGAAGTGATTTTGTCAGGTTCAGCTTTTCTGTCAAGAAATAGCTATCTAACATTTATATGGTGCTTTTATTTATTATTTATTTATTTGGAACTCTTAGGGGTTCTCAAAATGTTTCATGTTATCTTGACAATCCTTTTCAACCAACCAACCAACCAACCAACCAACCAACCAACCAGCAAAATGCCTTCATGCTAAGCTTGTATTTTTATCCACATCTCCAGATGTGAGGCTGGGCGTATCAGAGGGTGGCTTGCCTAAACCACCTAGTGAGTTCAAGGCTGAGTGAGACTGAAGCCAGGGATGTCCAGTTTATAACTAAAAGTGTCTAACTACCATGTCATTTTGGTTTCCACGTATTCTTAGAAATACTGTTAACCTCACTACAAATACCTTGAGTGATGAGAAGTCCCACGGATGTAATGCTTGCTTTGGATTGTCTTCCTTTCATGCTGGAAGCTCTTGTAATATTATAGTTTAACCTGTGGGTGCAAAACCACAAGCACAGAGGCCAAACGCAGGCCCCTAAGATTCTCTAAATGGCCCTGCCCCTTGTCCCTCAGCTGCTGATCACTTGATGGTTTCCCAGCTTTTGAGCAGTTCTTCTCAAAAGGCCAACATGGTCTTCCTAAGACATGGCTACTGGCAATAAGAACTTTAAGCTAAAATAGTCTGATGTTTTAGTTCCTACTCATGCTTGCCTTTGGCCTCACCCAGTGCTAGAAAGTGACCACTGCTCCCAACAACTTCTCTGAAAGAGCATTCAGCCCTTAAGATGAAAAACATTCCGTCTACACGCTTGATTTTAGACATAAATAGATAGAGGTCCATTGGAGGGTTAACCCGACAGTCCTATCCACTGCCCCCCTCACGTCTGCAGAGAAAGAGGCAGCTCCCTAAAAGGCACTTTCCAGAGTTTGCTCTATTCTTGCCCCACTCTCAGTCTAGTTCCCAAATGCTTCTCTTGTTTCCCACTCACTATTAGCTTCCTCCTCCTCTGACTCAATATGCTTAGAGGATAACCCTGTACATAGAACTTTTTATGTTTAAATACACATAGGGTTAACCCTCCCAACTTTGTGTTACTTTTATTTTTACAGCTATGTCATACCTTTTCTCCTTTTGTAAGGAACCCAGTGCAGCTAGCTTTGCCCTCCTTTTTTCACATTTATCCTCACAACAACCCTGTGAGGCAGGTGAGGATAAGTGTCAGTGAGTGGCCCACAGACTTTCAGTAAGCTTCCTGGCTGAATGGGGAGTGAAACCCAAATCTCCCAAGTTCCAGTCCAATACTCTAACCACCACACCACATGGCAATATCGCCACTGACTATTAAGGGCATTCCAGCTTCATTCTCCACTCCAAAGGGTTTCATCCTGAATCATCCTGCTTGTGTTCAATGTTTGGTGCCTGAGAAATGGGTCTTCTCATTAGGCATACCCAGACTGTGGAACCAAGATTTGCTCAGCCCCGCTCTCTCACAGAATAAATATTTCTACCGTTTCTCACAACTAAACAGTAGTTGTGAAGACTAAAGCAAAATGTTCACATGGCTCCCCTTACCCACCATTCCATGTTTTACTGCAACAAAAATAGTCTGCCTACCCAGAGAAGAGAAGAGAAGAGAAGAGAAGAGAAGAGAAGAGAAGAGAAGAGAAGGAACATTCATCAGTACAGTGGAGGTAAGCTTTTTTTATTAGCACGGATGCTGATGCCATATGCCACCTGCCTTAGGCTTCCCTGTTTGCTCCGAGTTTAGCTGTAATTTCACAAGATATAGGGGGAAATGACAACAGCATTTCCCAACAGCAATCTATTGATACGTATTGTACCACAAAGCCTTTTGGAAGGGTTCAGCTTCAGTAGGAAGTTGCGACCCATTCAGCTTAGAAAGATTCAGCTCTTAGGAGAGATGAAAGTGTTAGAACTGGTTTATGTCTAGGGATCAGCACAGGTGTCTAAAAAAAAACAACTACCCTTGATGACATGGCTATGAAAACTCATGAGGACCACCTCTGCTTCAGAATTGTCTGCTGCAAAGATCTTGAGCATGCGCAACTTTGTATTTTAAACTCATTTAAACTCATTCACATCACTGTCATGAAGACAGCAATAAAATGGAGTTTGCCAATGCTGCTGTGCTTCTGAACACATTTAGTTAGCAATAAGCCCCATTCTGTCACAGCAGGTATAACATTTTAAGTAAACAAAACAAAATAAGCATCTGTAGGTGTATAGATGTCTGGATGCCCACCCCAGCTGACTATATGATTTTTGTTAAATAAGAATATTGTGACAACCAGTGTCTGCCCCCGTGGTCTAGGTGTTAACTCCCATTCAATTTCTCACTGCCTCCATCACCTATCATTCTCTGCAAGGTCCTTTTGAGGACCTCTGGGCCCTGGACACTCACAAACATCGTAACTACACCAGGTGCCTTCAGCTGCTTCTGCTCCCACAATACTGGAATCTGGTTCCCAAGATGATAGCCCATCGTGCATGGCACAATTCACAATATTTGCATGGGCATGGCCAGCTGAAGAAGTGGGGTGTTAAGCATGCCCTCACCCAACTGTCAGCAGGCACTCGTAAAGGACAGGCTACACAAATGCTCACTGCAGAAAAAGAAGGCAACCCTGTCATTATTAACGTCTCATCTTGGTCAAGCCTATATGATTTTGCCACATATGGAGGCAAGAGAACCTTTAGGCAAATTGTCATGCTTCATGGATAAAATTGCATTCATCACACATCTTTGATCTCTGGACCCGTGGTCTGCCTCCAATTTCCTCGGCCCTGAACAACTTCAAATTATCTCTTTTTCTAGCAAAGCTGTGCCCAGGAAATTATATTGGCTTTACACCTTAAGAATTAACAGAATTGTTCACATCCTGTGCTAGAAAAGTGCTTGATCCAACTTCTATTCATGGCCTTGAATGGCTCAAATAAGAAAGAAAGCTAGGCAGCATTCTCTTCCTGTCACATTAAAGTGACTGTAATTAGCAGTTTCAGGTTATGATAAAGTAGTATCTGATGCTGTGCATGCATCAAAACCCCTTTCACTGTCAAAAACTGACCAGGGATTTCTTTAAGCCTTTCCAGATGAGACTGTTGCTCCACTGTTACCTACTTTCCATTATGTAGAACTGAGATCCGAACTCTGCTACACAAAAGACCTTTCCCTTCCTGCTTTTCCTGTACCTAACCTTGAGGTAGCACTGTGCTGTAGACAATCAACACAATCACACAGGCAGGAAAACATGCTTTCTTTCGCTTTCGCACACAAGAAAACCACAATAGAAACCACAATAGAGTCTCTCTCCCAACAATAATCTATCCGGATGCTACTATTAAGATCAGGGATCTGCCTCCCAACTGGCCCCTCAGAGGAAACCTCAGCTGGTAGCAGTGGCAGCGCCCCAATTATGGAACAAGCCTTCCACTGAAGCCCACCTGGCACCAACGCTTCCACCTTTTTGGCACGAAGTTAAAACTGTTGTTTAAGACAGGACATTTAATCAGCTTTAACTAACATATTGTGGCATTATGTCAGCTGCCTAACAGATCTTCTCATTTAACATGTGTTAGCTATTGTATCTTTTAAAATTTGGTTTTAAATTTTGCTTAAGTGTTGCTATTCTTTTATGACATTAGCTACATTTTATATTGCATTTCTATTGTATTTTATGTTCTGTTTTAAACTACCCAGAGACATTCAGCTACTCAGTGGTATAGAAATAATGCTCCATTTTCTCCACTCTAAACAAAGCTGGGAGAATGCTTTTTGAAACAGAAGGCAAACTGGAGGGTCATCTCCAGTCTGCCAACTATACAACCATGAGTACAAAATGATGAACACAGAATAAATGCTTTGTGCAAAAAAGCATTGTGCTCTTTATAATAAACATTGAAAGAAATTGGTATTAAGGCAATTTCTTATGCCTCCTATGCAGCTATTATATGTGCAGGATCCTGCCAGAAAGACAGATAATCTACCAGGAACAGTCCCAAAGTGAAGATTCTTGTGCAAGTGCTGAAAGCTAAAATGCCACCTATTCATGCAACCAAATCTTGAGCTTCAAGGTTGGTACAATCGAACTGGAATGTTTGACTCATCTTGTTTTTCAGGGAGATTAGAAAGCCTTGGAGAAACCTGACCCAGAAACAAACCTGCTGTATTTATGGGCCAAGGTAAATTTATAAAATTTTCACCATGACAAGTTGCAGAGCAGTTTGTGTGTGTGTTCTTTCTGTAAGAAAACATCTGCTGCTTGTGGTGACAGAACTCCAAATCAGTGTCCTGGCAGGCTGCCATGTTCCTTCCCCATGCCTTGGAAACGATACTTTGTCATTACATGGGGGAAAGGACATTTTTTCAAGCGTTCTTTTCAAAGACAAACTTTGTTCTAAAATGAGATGATGTTCCATACTGGTCAGGAGAGATTGCCATCTTTTCATTCTCATACTGTTTGTTTTTAATCTATAATATTTCTGAAATGACAGCAGGCCCTCATGAAGTGCTATTTCTGAGGCACCAAGAGGAGGTCTGGTGGCCCTCCAGATTTGGAGGTCAGTCATTGCAAGCATCAACAGACCAGCTTCTTACAGAAGGAATGTACACACAAGCCATTCTGCCACTTCCAGGGAGGCAAACATTTTAATAATTTCTCCCACCACCAGAACTTTGCCAGAAATGCTACCTAGGCTTGCAAAACTGAGGTGCTGTTTTCAACACAGTTTTATTAAAGATCAAGGGTAAGCCTAAGATGCCTGCAACCATTTCTCTTCCCTGCATTTCAGCAGCTACCACCCTGCCATTGTAGGTGCCAAAACCACAAATTAAAATTAAAACTGGCATGCTGCTGTGAAGCACCAAAAGGGCCTTCGGCAGTCCACAGCAGCCCCAGCAACCAAAATGTTAGGCTATTTTTAAAAAATCAGGATTTCCTCAGAACCTGTGTGGATCACATGTGACTCGCCTCAGTTCTAAATACATTTTAATCAGACCCATGATGGTGTGCTGGTTAAGTACTGGCTTTGCACTAATGAGACGTGAGCTCAAAATTTCAGCTGAGAGAAAACCCTAACCTGTTTCACAGGACTGCTGGGAAGACGGAATAAGATAAGCCTCTCTCTGGCACCTCAAGCCGCACCAAGACAAAACTGATTTGCTAGGCCGTATTTGCACTCCTATTCCCCGCTTCCAAGTCTTGTGCACTCAAATGAGGATTGGCACCATTTGTTTTCCCCACTTTTAACTACAGCCAGACACACATTATGCATGGTGGGAAGATGAAGTGATGGGGGATTTTTGTTTGCCTGGTTGACTGGTTTGTTTTTCTCTATGTCAGGCTACTGTTAAAGCAGAATTTGCCAGCTACTGGCTGTCCAGATGTTTCTTCCCGCAACTCCCACCAGGCCTAGCTGGCATGGTTAATAGTGGGAGATGAGAGAGGCTGTGGCCCTCTAGATGTCGTGACTTACATGTTGCTCACCCCTGTGTCAAAGGCATTAAAAAGATATAAACCCGATTCTCAGCATCAGCAAGGCAGGAGAAAGACAATATATAAGGGATGCTCTTCTTATTGAAGGTCACCCTGAAAGGTACGCTCCCAATAGGTTTTTCTAGATAGGCTCCTTGTGCTTCATTTGTCCCTATGCCTTTCATTCCAGCTGTGTGTTATTCTTTCTAAATGCTCACCTGCTTCACTGTCAGCACCTTAGTAAGCAGCTTGCTTGCCAAGTTCCAACAAAGGCATACTTTCAGACTGCTCCCTGACAGTAACAGCTCCCTGCACACACCTGGAAAATGAGAACGCTTGACTTGTGACATTAGGCCAGTGGTAAAGAAACAGAGGCAAAAGGAGGAGGAAAAAGGAAACATTGGGAGGATAATGAGTCTCCCATTTAGGTTAAATGAGAACTGAATCCTAATGCTGCATGTGGAAAAGATGTTGCTCTAGCAAGGCTGTATCCTTTGAAGAGGACAATTGGATGTTGCCCCAGGGAAAGAAAAACCTCCAAACCAATCAGTAAATGAGCAAAGACAGCAAAGTGTGAATTGCCACTGCCTGCCAGACACTTGCAAGCTGAAGGCACACAACAGCAGCACTACTCAAGATCAAAGGACATCTGCCTGCCCAAAGGACATCTGTCTGCCGCTTGCAGTTAGTGTTACCTATATGGTTAGGCAAGCTAGCTGGCTACCAAAGAACTGAAATCAGAGTTGCCAACTTCCCGGTTCCCCCCAGCCCAGCACAGAGCTAGCAGGACATCTGTGCCTTGAACACTTTTGCAGCAGGCAGAAATTCAGCATATGAAGCTTTATTTCCAGGAGAAGAGAAGCTTTGCTTCTGGAATGTTTGTATAAGGTGCACCAATTGCTAGTACATTTGTGTGTGTGTGGGGGGGGTTCACTGTTCCAATTGTTCCCTTTAATCCCTAAATGGTTTAGGAGCAAGTTGTTTGAAGGACTGCTTACATCAGGGATGGGGAGGGGGACTCCTTGCCCATAGACAGGATATCACTGAGCAGAGATAATAAGGTATTTACAGGCAATCAGCCTTTAAGAGCTTTGCAAAGGATAAATCTATTGCAAATATTTTGAGCTCTGCTTTTAACAGGCACAAGAACTGCAGTACAGGATTGACCTGTGTATTTAGCAAAGTCCAGAAAGGTGGTGCACCTACTTAAGGTGCCCATGTGCAAATCAACTAAAAAGAAGATGCATATCACCAACAGAAGAGTCCAATTTGCATATGCTGACTTACGTTATAGATGTGATTTAAGAGATAATTATTATTTAAGTAGAAATTTAGTTCATCTCAAAATAGTGCTGAAGACTGTAACCAGGTGATCTGGGTTCCTTGCTCTCAATGGGCAACTTCTTTGTTTTTAGAAATTTTTATTAGGATTTTAAACTAAAACTACAAACATCAATCATCGCACACATCAGATTTACTGGGTCAGCCCCCTACAACATATCTTTTAACACTCTGTGATCATACTAAAATCCATTAAGGATTTTCAAGGTCCAGCTCTTCTGCAGCTCTTTACCAGAGGTGGACTGGATGACCCTTCAGAGAGAGACCTCACCTCTACAGAAGATGTCACATGGCTACTTTACGCCAACATGAACTTGCCTGGGCCTTGCAATCAGCCACAGAGGCCACGCTTACACAACCACCACAAAGGTCCAGCAGGTTGGGTGTGAGAGAGGAGGATGGCCCCATTAGAGAGAAACTCTCTCCCTCAGGAAGCAGGCTGCATTAGAGGCATTTAAACCTGCTTTTACTGAAACTGCTTTTAATTGGCTGTGAGACAGCTGCTGTGGTAGTTCAAGTGTTGAACTGGGACTTGAGGAGATCCAGTTCTCATCCTCACTCAGCCACGAAGCTCATGGGATGCCCTTGGGCCTGGCACTGTGTCTCAGCCTAAGCTACCTCAAGCAGGGTTGCTGGTATGAGGATGTGATGGACCTAGGTAAGCTGCCTTGGGGCCTTCACAAGAGGAAAAAAGGTAGGATATAAATGCAATGTAACAACAACAACAACAGTAATAATCCTGATCTGCAGTTGAAGATTGTGAAGGATTGCTGATACTATTATTTGCTGTTATTGATTGTGCTTCTGTTTATTTGTATGCATAAATTATGGGTGTTTTATCTTTGTTTATGTACATAATTTAGATGTGATATTTCTGTCTGATGAAGTAGCATAAAAACATATAAAGGCATAATATTTTAGAAGCTGAAACACCAAAAAGGCCTACAAGTCCAAATGCTTTTGGGACCCACTCTCCTTTCAGCATTACCCAGTACCACTGAGCTTGTTGAATTCACTAAGGCAGCTGCATAGCCAAGAAGTGTAAGAACAAGTCCCACTTTTGATTAAGAAGCGTGGTTTAAGAGGAACAGAAATTAGTATTCCAGATAGCATCCCTTGGAAAAGATAGTTTGCAATAGCGTTTCTAATAGGCATAACTTCCTTGCTTTCTCCTCCTCTAAGAGGGTCACCACCTGAAAAACATACAAGCAAAAAGCGTATGTGGTAATCCTGTGCTTTTAGCCACCACAGATTAAGTAGATGGACGCTACTTTAGCTCCATGCCAAGACATGTCTTAAATGGCTTAATTTTTTAAATGTTAAGTTGCTATTAAAAGGCATAAGATCAGAGCCTGGCTGGGTACCAGCTAAGAGCCACAACTCCATAGGAAGCTCATCATCAACCAGGGCCTATCTAAGATATTTTTGCTCTCCAACTAAAAACTATAGACAGCACCCTTTCTTGTTGCATGAACAAAAGCAGAGCGGAGTGGCATGAGACTTTCTTCAACCTTGGCACTGGGGCAGCATCTTCCACCTCCCCTGAAGGCAGCCGACTAGCTCAGGGGATGCAGGAGAGGCTGCTTGGCACACAGCTCTTTCCTCCAAGGCCTCACTATCTGCAGCCACCTCGTTCTATGTAAAAGCAGGGCAGGCCAGCCAACAACCTCTGGAGCCCTTTGGTCCCGCTTCTCCTCCTTTTGCTGCCTGCTCAGCTGCCCCTGAGTGAATGCCCAGTAACAAGAAAAAAAGGGAAGGAGCAGAGATTCTGGGTTATTCTCATCTGCTTGGGAGGGGTACTTCAGGTAGAAGGATGAGATACCCATTTTTCCTGACAACAAAACTATCCTGGAACTTTCGAAAGAGGAGCTGGATTCTAAAGAGAGTTGCACTGGATATATTATTGTTTATATTGCTACAAAAGTGGTGTATGTGGTATAGAGAGGAATCTTTTGTAATCCTATGATGATGTGATTATAATAGAACTGCTTGAAGTGGTCAAAACTGGCTGGACATAGGATTACTAGAATAGTTCAACTCTAATCTGGCAGGTATCTTTTTTAGGGAAATTATAGGGTGATGCTCACAATAGCTGACCGTAAGAAAAGTTAAAGAGATACCTAGAAAGATGATGTGTCATCTTCCCTTTTGAAGCTAGAGATTATGTAAGCAAGGAAGAGAATGTGAAGAATAGACTGGCAACTGGAGGAGCATACTGAGGACAGGGGAGAGAGTTGGCTTTTGGTCTTGTAAAGGCATCTGAGGGATTCTGGTTTCTCTAGAAATCTGATGTGGATGCACTGGATTTGTGTATCACCACAGTTACTAAGAACAGCATAAGCCTCCCCTGACCTCCTTCCTAAGGAA